ACTTTATAGACTCCCCACAGGATGGGTGAAAATTTTTGCCAGTATTCATCTGAAAAAGGACTAATATCCAGAATCTGCAGGATATCTCAACCCCCAAAGAATCAACATCCCAATGAAGAAATGGGCACATGAATTGAGGATATGCAATTTTCAAAGGAAAAGGTACAAATAACCAGTAAATAGATGAAGAAGTATTCAATTTCCTGCCTATAAAAGAGATACGAATCAAAACGACACTAAGATTTCACCTCACTCCAGTTAGAACGGCAATCTTAAAAAAGAACACAACAACAAATGTAAGCAAGGATGCAGTGAAACAGGAACCCTTATGCACTGTTGATGGAAATGTAAATTAGTACAACTATTGTGGAAAGCAGTGTGGAGATTCCTTAAAAACCTAAAAATAGAACTGGCATATGATCCAGTGATATCACTCCTGGGCAATACAATAGAGACATTTGTGCACTGATGAATATTGTAGCACTGTTCAAAATAATCAAGTTATGGAAACAACTCAAGATGTCCTACAACTGATAAATAGATTAAAAAATGTGATACACACACACACACACAATGGTGTTTTATTCAGCCATCTGGTTTGAAGGTAAAATGGATGGAATTGGTGGACAACATGTTAAGTAAAGTAAGTCAGGTTCAGAAAGACAAAGACAGCATGTTTTTTCTCATATGTGGACGATATATCATATGTGGAAGAAAAACATATACACAAACAAACACGATCATATACAAACTTATATGTAGAACATGTTTGTAACAGTGGAATTACTCTATGGAACGCCAGTGGATGAGAGAAAGGAAAAAAGAATGATGGTCAGTAATATCAAAATATATTACATCTCTGCAGGAAGAGGCTATAATGATAGGTCTTAAAAGCTGTAGAATAAGGGAGATGGGAGGAAGGGGAACTGGAGAGTAATGGAAGGGGTTGAATAATCAAAGTAAAGTATTTTCACAGCAGGGATACATCAAGAAACCCCTTTGAACACTGACTTTGGAATTAATAATGAAAGGACTATAAAACAGGTATAGAGTGCGGGGAGTACTTGTAAGAGGCTGGAGAGTGAATGGAGGAGATGAAGGTGAGGGAATATGGTTGATGGGCTCCATATACATATATGAGCTACAATGATAAAACCTCTTGCAATCACTTTAAGTGGGGCTGGGAGGAACTTCTGAGGTTGGGAGATGATGGGGGCGATCTAATCAATGTACAATGTAAGGCTATTCGGAATTGTCACAATGAATCCCCCCCGTACAACAAATATATCCTAATAAAAATGAAGAAAAAGAATCAGTCATGCACAAATATAAAATACAAATACACCACAAACCTAGCAAAACAACACACTCTAGTATTTAATATAAAAACACATACTCCCAACCACCTTCACTTGAACACTTAAAATGTACAATCCTCATCTTCATGAAACTACCCACCACCCTGTAAAACCCAAAATTCATTTGCAAAAACTTCCACCTTTAACTGAATACATTCAGAACAAACTCATATTGTTCTTAATATATGACGTAATTCTCCATTCCCAAATATAACTCACATGACTACCTGGGCATGCACATACACACAGTGTCTCAGAAGTGAAAGAGAAACACAGCAACACCTTTCAAACAGACACACATGGACATCACTGCCTCATTCCAAACTCACAAGATGTGCCTCCATTCCCCAAAACACACAAACTCCCTCACAGCTCCCAGCAGGAACAAATGTCCATCTTGGGAAACTATAAACAGTGTCTGTCACATAGCCATGCTACCTATATACAACAGTAATACCCAAATATGCCTAACAACCCCCATTCTCCCAACATCTCTCTACACCAAAAAACATGCCTCCAAAATTCTTATCCAGATACCACACTATACAAATAAAACCTATGGTCTGAATATAAACAAATCCAACACCCAAATCAGTATATATATATAAACTTCCTTCTTAAATGCATACACACATATTCATAGCAGCACACAATGCCTTCAAATCACACAAAGCCATCTCTATTAGATAACACACGTGGACTGCCATATCAGATCTGTACTCACCTTCTAAAGGCACTCAATCTACTCATGCACAAATCCTACAATATGGTAATCAAACATGTACACACAAGGTAATTCACTGTGTGAATTCTATATCGTATTCTATCCTTCCATCCTACACATGAAATATACTGGAACACATTGCCCTGGATAAATGAATACACTCACACACAAAGGAAGCCCCCAACCCCCACACAAACACATACTGTGGATTTTGGAGATATCAGTTAGCAACTTGATTAACGACTATTCATCTCCTGAACTCTACACATAGAAGGAGAAGGTGTTTGAAACTGTAACAGAATATAAAAAGGCAAAGAAAGTGTGCATTCCCTTGTATGGAACTGTTTCCACTGTTGTAGCTGCCTCCTCAAGGGGACTCCTAGCCTTAACATGAGGTACATGCTCATTTTCTGATCTATCAGATATGTACTGTGGTAAGACTGTAGATAAAGGAACAACAGGAAAATAAATTCAGTAGGTAAAAACAACACTCTTTTACTCCAGTTAGCAAATGAGGGTCAGTGATTAGAGGTCGCTCTGATGGATGGCCCTCCTACCCACTCTAGCGTCACTCTCTGATGGGGACATGTAGCTCCTCCAGGAGGCAACTTTACCAAGTCTGCTGTTGATGACAGAAGAGGAAGAGCAAGACCCCACAACGAAGAGGAAGATTTCAAGAAGGAAGGTTGCACAGCTGAGGCCAGAATGAGAGGGAGGCTGTGATGGGTCCATGGTACAGGGCAGAGATGCCATGACTTGAAATTAATTCATATTACTGTCACCACACCTCAAGTAAGTGTAGACACTGGGGAGTGGATTTTTTTCCAAAAGCATGTCACTGTTGCAACAGTAAGAAGGCAAAAACCTGTCCTCCTATATCCATTCTTCATTCTTGGTTGCCTCCTTCATGCACACGCTGTAATGTCTATTCTGCAGCATTTGAAGTTGAAACATCTGCTCTCATCCTTGAGGCCTAAGTACTTCAGGAGACACAGGTTAAAGCCCTCATGTTGCTGTGAGGCAGACACTGAGGCTGAGGTTTAAGGAGCAAGAACAGGGGTCACAAGTTCCCTTGGGGCATCAGAAGACATGTTGCTTCTCTGAATGTGGAAGAAGAGGGGAACGTAGCGGGAAATGGGCACTTACGTATGTTTGCACAAGGAGGGAGAATACCCTAACATTCATACCTAACAATTACGATAGCTACTTATATTATGCCATTGGCTGCTCCAAGCACTTTCCACATATTAACTCTGATCTTTCCAACCCTGTAGAGTTAACACTGATATCCAAAACTTACAGAGAAATAAGAGGCTCAGAGAGGTTAACAATGCTTGCCCAGAGTCAGTGACCCTGACACAGGTTGTGGGATTTGAAGCAGTAGCCTGCCTTCTATCCTGTATCCTCTCCTGGACCAGGCTGCATTTTAAGGAACCTGGAACCCACTGAGAAGAAAATACTTCACATTTCTCTTCTGGGGAAGAACTTACTGTGGGGCACTAAGAGGAGAACAAGGGGAAGATCATCCCAATAGTCCCTTTCCAGTATATTCTGTCAATTCAGCACTATCTCCTCCTCGCTAGGAGGGCACACATTTCCCACTTCATTTTTCTGAGCTCAACCTGAAATTATTCACCTGGGCTCCCTCCACCTACATCTGCCTCCACAGCTAATAGGGTTCTGGAGTTTTCTCACAGAAGAGGCCCTGAGTTTCCCTGCATGATCCAATTCTAATCCTGAAGAACTGTGGACATATTATTTTCCAAAGGATGGGTGAGTGAAGTCTTGGGCAATGGGATTGATTGAGACCACTGAGCCCCAGGCTGACATCCCTCAGTGATCCCTGCTACTTGCATCCACAGGAGGTGAGTTTGGCAGAGGGTGGGGCTGGGGGCTTCCCGTGTTGTTGATGGTGCTGTTAGCTTTCTGTCACTGTGATAAAAACACCTCCAACGAGTAACTTAAAAGAGGACTCATTTGTTTTTGCCCACAGTTTCACAGGTTTCAGCCCATGTTCAGTTGGCCCTGTTACTTGTGAGCCTCTGGCAAGGCAGTACATCATGATGGAGAGCAATGTGTAGGGGAGGATACTCCTGACCTCACAGAGGCCAGGAAACAGAGAGGAAAGAGGCCAGAGTACCAATATCCCTTTAAAGGGAATGCCCCCATTGACCTAATTTCCAGCCACTATGCCATACCTCTGAAAAGGTTCCACCAGTTTCCAACAGGATCATTAGCTATGGACCAAGCCATTAAGAAGCATGAGGCTTTGGGAGACACTTAAGATCCAAACAAAAATATTCTGCCCCAACTCTCAAAGGCTTAAGTCCATCTCACGATTCAAAACATATTCAGATCATCTCTAGGAGTCCTCAATTTGACAGCTCCAGCACTGTCCAAGTCAAAAGTCCAAGTCCAAAATCTCCACTGAGATTCAAGGCAAACTCTTAGTGAAGCTCTACCCTGAGTCCAAGGTTTTTCTCCTGTCTTTCTTCTTTTTGATTTACAACTATGGCTTTATTTTATCCCTGTACCCTGCTCCATATTATGACAACAAAATGTGAAGTCAGTTAGAAGCACTAACTCTTTCCCTGCACACTCCTCCTTTCTAGGGTATGAGAAGGTACCAACTAAAAGGGAGCTATAAAAGTCTAGAATGGGATGGGCTGTGAAACATCCAGATGCACAGAACTTCAAGTAGCAAACCTCCAAACTGTGTTTTCTCAGATTCACAGCACCAGGATATCGTGGTGACCTCAAGACTGAGATAAGATGCTATCTCAACCCATGTTCTAGAACCGGTCATTTTTCAAGAGAAATGAACTAATCTGACCCCCTGTTTGAAACAGGTGCCATTCTATAAAAGATGCTACATAAACTTCATATAAGTAGTTTAAGCAAGATGACCCCAGGCTTACCCTTCATCTTCTGACATGTCACCTTCTTGCTAAAATCGTTTCTGGTCTCTCCACTTCCTCTCTTCAGTTACTTGGTCCTCTTAGGTGGCAGTAGAACTGAAACTTTGGCTGTTACATTAGCTGTGGGCCCCTACGAAAATCAAAAAGAAAGTTGTATTGCATACTTCTAAGATACAATGTTCCCATTCTAAAGGAGAAAAACAGGAAAACAGTGAGGAAGAATCAAACCAAGCAAGACCAAAATCTATCAGGGCAAACATAACCTGTAGCTCCAATCCGTGGTGGTGGAATATTGTCCCTCTAGTTCTTGGGCAGTCTTGCCCCTATGGCCTTGTTGCCTACTGAACACAAGGCTGCACTCTTGGTTCTTCTTGCTAACTTGGCTCCTCCCAGCAGGCAGTCCACATTCCTGGCATCTTTAACTTCCTAGGTTTCCATGGAAGCTTCAGGTTCTGTCTTCCATCTTCACACAGATCTGTCTGGTACTGCTTGCAGAGACTCTGACTGGGGCACACACTGCCTCGCCTCCCAGGCTTTCCTCTGAAATTTCAGTAGAACCTCCAGAACCCACAACTCTTGCATTCTGCAAGCCTGCAACACTACTTGGGTATGCCAAGCTCTGATGTCAGCATGAACAGTAGTCAGGACTATTTGGACCATAGCTATTTAGGCCTTCGAGTGCCCTGACAGCAGGATAGGGAAACGATTCTCTGGGTGACCCTGTGCAAGCAGGGTGTCCCAAGGTTCCTTTCTCAAAAAAAGAGGTTTCTCATCCTCCAGTGGGTGATTAGAGATTCTGATTTCTGAGATGCCCTCCAGGCATTTTCTAACCAGTACATAGACCTTGGCTTCTTAATTACACTAATCCCATTGACAACCATGCCCTTCAAGGCCTCAACTTCACATCACTACTTTCTGGCCAAAGGTTAAATTTTCAAATCTTTGCACTTTGCCTTTAGTGCCCACATGTCATGATAAATCTGCAACCAGGAATACTCATCACACTTTTAAACTCTGATGCCTTGTAATTAGTCCTGCAGATGAATTCATCCTCAGATAAAATCTCAGGGAATGGGCAAAATGAGGACAAGATTTTTGCCAGAATGTAATATGAATCACCTCTAGTCTAAATTCCCAATATCATCCTTACTTCTATTTGAGGACTTATGAGTACAACCTTTACTGTCCCCTTCATATCAGCATTCTTCTCCTCAGAGCTCCCACTAGAATCAGCTGTAAAGCTTTGCTTCTAGCACTGCAGACTTTGTCTTGCCAGCTTCTCCAAACTTTCACAACTGTCTCAAACAAACCAGCTACCAAGGCTTCTGATCCACATAGTCTGGCATAGCCACAGCTATAGCAACAACTCCATTCTGTTTGCTAGTTTTCTGTTATCCAGCTTTCCATCACTATGACAAAATACCCAGGATAAATATCTTAAAAGGAAAAAAACCCAATTATTTTGAACTTCAAAGAACTTCAAAGGTTTCATTCCATAGTCACTTGGCTCTGATGCATGTCAGCCTGTTGTGATGATGCGTTTGAGCCTGTGGTGGGGCAGTCCATTGTGGTGGAGTACACATGGTGAGAAATACACCCTACCTTATGGTAGCTACAAAGCAAAGGAACAGAAAGCAGGACTATGCTTACAATATACTCTTAAAAGACACACTTTTGATGACTTACTTTCCTTGCATTAGGCCCCACCTCTGAAAAGGATCCACAAGCTCCCAGTAGGACCATTAAGCTAGGGATTTAACCATTATTGGCACATGATCTTTTAGGTGATAATTTAGATCCAAACCATAACAGATGATTTATATCCCACATTTTGCTCCCTCTACCTATTTCTGCAAAGGCCAAGTCTGCCTCCTGCTGTTTCACAGACTCCAGGCCTGAAGGAGACTCACCATAAAGAGCCATGCTCAGAAACCCTGGGGTTCATCCCAGTGAGGCTGGAGGCACGGTGGGTCAGCTGGTAGCAACCTTGAACATTCTTGACCCTCTCGTAGGTCAGTAACTACATGGAATAGAGAAAATGAAGAAAATTGGACTTCTTTATCTGAGAAACACAAAGCTGGTATGGACTTCCTAGAGCTGCAGATACCTCAAGTCTTCAGAAAAGAAAAGACAATGTTTCTTCAACACTAGATTATGGTTTCCCAAATAGAAACCAGAACATCTCAGCACTGGGGACTCTCAGATGTCATACATAGTTGCGAAGCATCACATTAACAAGGGGTCAGGTTGATTCAGAGTGACATGACTGACTTACTTGATACCCAGCAGTCTTACCAACTCAGAGTGGGGAAGATGGGAGTTAGCACACAGGTTCTGCAAGCTTTTAACAGCCTGGGAGAAGGTGTCCCTTCCCATTGGTGTATCAGAGGGTGGACAGTTGACTCTCAGAGGGGTTTGCAGAAGAGAGTACTTGTCTCATCTGATCTCCGAGCATCGTCACATTATTAAGACTGCAGTTCATCGCATGGAGAACACACTGCTGAAAGTTCTGTTTCCCGCACTTCCAAATAGAAGAAATAACTCCTTCATTTTTCATTTGTAGAATCATACAAACTCCACACCATAACTGCAAATATTCATTCTATCTTTCCCCAGTTGGTCACAGACCCACCCTCACATACTAAAAACACATGTAAAAATCCTGAAAAACAGAGAAACACCACCATCCACCAAGTCCTGAATGCACAGACAATCCTCCTACATTTCTTAACAATACAAGTTGGTTTGAAATTCCATGCAAAAATCCACAAACACTGCCTTAACATTGCCCTTAGACATGTTTCTTCCAACTTTGCCACGATACACTCACAAATAGCATTTGTTGGGGGGAAAACACAGGTAAAATATTCTAAAACCCAAACTGCACACACTTAAGCCCAGTTGTGAGTTTACAAACGTTACATCTTACATCCTCCAAATACACTCGATCTTGCACGACACAAGTACCATCATGGATTCCTTATATCTAAATTATATACAGATGCCATCACCCACACACGTGAAGGTATGTATTTGTACTCAACACCCAACTTACAACTAAACCTCAAACTATGAATTCACGCACCATAGTCCCCATAGATACCCAAAACACATACAGTAAACCATCCATGCCCTCTGAATTCCTACCATCCCTGAGAGGCCAAGCATAGCATCACATTTTCACAGAACAACCACTCTACAATTTCAAGACCTGTAAAATCAAAACAACACTTCCTCACATGATCAAATACACACACTGACTCCAGATATCCAATCAACATAAACACATATGAGCATTAATAAATTTAACACATCTATTAGATGTGTATAATTCAGTAAGTTATACACACCTCCATTGTAAATCCCTTTTATTCATTTGATTCCCACATAATGTTTTTGCTGATTTTTGCCAGACTCTGACATGCACAGCAAGTCCATCATGACATGACAACATCAGACTGAAGAAACCCCTACTATTAAATTCTGCAAGTCGCTAACATCATTAATCAGATCATGAATACCAGATGATGTTTTTGCTGATGCTGAAAAGTCTCAAATGTGACAAGAAGAGAAGGTGTGTGACAACACGAGTTATTTCTCAATGACATGATCTATTTCTTGGTTGAGCTGAAAATGCTTTTCCAATACTTAAGAAGTTTCCCTCAAGCCTTTGCTTATTGTGTATGAGGGACACAGCAGTGCCATGTTTAATTTCACCCCACAATATTAACTATATTCTCACACTTCAAAGGCCAGAAGTCAACAGAACAATGAGAGGAGTTCAGGTTGGGTTGGCCTTGGACCATGATCCTCTTCTGTCACTAGAACCCAGCACTTATCCTACTATAACCCATGCACATGGTAAGACCAAAGCCAGCTAAGGACTTGGGCTGCTTTGCAACCTGTCTCTTCAAGGTAGCATAAAGAAACTCCCTTAAATAAGGCCATCTCCAGGCTCTATTTCAAGCAGTAGGAGGATAGAGGGAAGGGTATAGTGTTTCTGGGTTAATGGTCCAGAGGACTCAGAATCGAGTGCCTTGCCACCACTAATGGTGTTAATGCTCCTGGTGCCCTGCCTGCTGCAGGACACTGAGTCATACAGGGGTTATTGCTTTGTGGGACATATGGACACTAAGAACCCAAGGGTGGGAGCCCTGGGTGAGGTGCAGGACCGTCATTAGAAGGAGACTTGGAGTTCCCATTGCCTTTGTATTTTTGTAATTGACTTTGGAGACTGTCATGGGAGCCTTGAACGTTGGGACCATGACCTCAGAGCTTGCGCTCAGATGATGTCAATGGTGCACTGCAGCACCTCCCAGGCCCCCCCCAGCTCCAGGGTGTACACATGCAGGGAATGTGTCAGTCCTGGAGGACAGGAGGAAACCACAGGTCTGAGAGACCCTCACACTGTTCCCAAGGTGACGGCTGCTCAAGGCACCTTTGTGGCCATCCCCACTTAACACCACTGTGTTAGACATGGCCACTAGGATTTCCAACATTACAAGCCTGCCACCATGAGCTTAAACACCACCCCACGGTATCAGAAGAGAAGGTGTGAGTCATCAGGCACCAAGAAGAGAAAGAAGAGGCATTGGGGCCCATAGGTGGTGGGTGGTCTTTAGGGTGCTTATGCTCAAGGTGTGGCCTGAGCCGGATTTCACCCTGGTCACATCCTATACCCTAGCAGCCAAAGGCTATTCATCACTTAGCTGGTCCAGGTGGTCCTCAAGGTAGGAAGGGAAGAGTGAGGGCAGGGGGATCATAGGGTGGGGGGAGAGTTGCATGGGGGATTGTATTCTGTAGTAAACAAAGGTAGTTTTGTTGGAGAATGCATTCAGGGGAGCTGCTTCTTTCCTGGCCTCTGTGCAGCTCCATGGAGTGAGGATGGCAAGGAGGGGAGGATCTGGAGATGACAGGCTCTAGTGTGCACAGATGCCCAGCCCAGGTCTCCCTTCCAGATCTGTCCACTGCTCCTGGGAGTAGGCACACTGGAAGCTTCTGGGGATCCTGGTCATAATCCTTCTTCTCACAAGGTCTCACTTGGTTTAGTGAGCTTTGTCTGCTCTTCCCATCACTATCTCTGTCCCTTAAAAATGTTTGGAAGGAGAGTTACTTTCCATTTTGAGTCAGGCTCTCCTCAAGCCAGCTCACTGGGAGCTGAAGGAAGGCAGCCTAGGACTATGCTGTTTACAGTCCAGCGTATACACACAGCCTGCTCACAGGATGGAGTGGCCATCATCTGTTCTCACTCACACAGTCTAGGATTAACATTATCAGTCTAGGATTAACTGTTCTTGACAGTGTTTCCCCTTGGGAAATTAAACTGAAACGGAAGTGGCCAATGATGGTGCTTGGATATGGCTTTCCCCCAAGAAACAGGTTTAAAGTGTCAAACAACAACGTTCACTGTTTTCCAGTCATTTCAGGGGATCAGGTATCAGCATGCATTAGCTATTATTTACACAATTTTAAAATATTTAGTTTGGATTGAAAGGGCTGTCGATAAATAGATGCCTCCTTAAGGTTAATTTTTTTGCATTCTACATAAGTAATCCACTACTGATAAAATTTTATTAATTTTTAATTGAAGATTACCCTAATCCTGGTGTAGGTGTGATTTTATTTGAATCAACTCAACTTTAACATCTCCTTCTGACCACATACCTGGCACCTGTTTGATTAGAGCCAACCCTAAAAACTCTTGCAAATACCCTCTTGCTTAGTTCTTTCATCTACTCATAGAGAACTAGTTCTTGACTTCACTAACATCAATGTTTACTGCCAAACTAATAAGAGCTTCAGAGATAAAAAAAAATTAAATAGATCACAAGCCACTAACTTATAATGACTAACATTCTAATGACATTCAAACGAAAACCATCTCCTATCCCACAAACAATATTTTTTTGCCTTTTTAGCCTAGTCCATAACCTATGTGCTGAGAAGTAATGTTTTAGCTAACACCTTTTCTTCTGCTATGGCAATTAAAGAAAAAGAGAAAGTTATCCAACATCTTGAGCCAAAAGTAAATGAAATCAAACTATATTATGTTTTTTTGTGTTAAAAGTCATGATGTAAACTGTACCAATTTAACCATTTTTAAGACGGTAGATTGGTGGCATTAAGATATCCATATCTCTATGCAGCCATTACCACCATCCATTTCCAGAACAATTTCATCTTCCCAACCTGAAACTCTGTGTCCATTAAATCCTAACTCTCCATTCTCCACTTCCATCAGCCCCTTGAAGACATATGAATGCTGTTATTAATAACAAAGTGATTTCTTCTGCTAGTAACAAAGACTCTTCAGGTCACACACCCAACATTTGCTCTAAGAGCCTGTCATAAATACTGTGCAGACTGTTCCAATATTCTCCTCTTCTAGCCTCTTTTTCAGAGCACAACATGACTTACAAATATTACATACTAAATCTGTAATGCACTTACATGATTTTTAATATTTAAAATTTAAGCAAACAAAACTTTAATCTTCTAAAAGAAGTATGAACTTATACCTAGAGGTAGTAAGTAAGGTAATTTAAAATAATTTGAAGCAGTTATGATTCCAAAGAACTTTAAGCGACCAACAGAGCATAAGCGACAAAGGCCACACAGTGAAAGTGTTCATGTCAGAGCAGGACCTATGACACATCCTCCATTGAAACATTTTCCAATACATGTACAGTATCTTTTAGAAATCTTACTTAATCTCCATCTCCTGGAGGTCACAGGAGAGTGAATTTATTTGATTAGATGATGGCAAGGCAATGCAAACCACTGTGTAATTGAACAAAATAAGTTAATAGGACTAATTTATAATTTAGACTTCACACTCTTTAAGGGAGTAGTGAGAAGACAGTTCCAGTATTTCACTACATTATAAACTTATTCTACTTATCTCATAGATCAAACATGGGAAATGTGTTTTAAATTCAACTGGTATCTTGCACGCACTTAAAAGCATGTTAAAGTGCTTGTGGAAGTTATGTTTCTAGGTTGGTCTGAGATATGGCAGTGACATGCAGTAGCCAGCCTAATTCATACTCTGACAAACCCTGTTTCTCAACAGACCACTTACCCAGATGCTTTCTTCACATTGACATTGCTTCTAGTTCTTCCCACTGTCACTGAACATCAGGAGATAGCTGATCAGAGGAGGCCAAATCTGTGATGTTCATTCTCTGTCCAAGGTCAATTTCCAGCCACTGGCATTTATTTTATAGAAGTGGAGTGCAGCCACTAACTCTTTTTTTTCTGAAAATAAAAATAAGAAAAATGGTATCATTAAAATCTTGCATCATTACATCCCTGAAAGCAAGATGGGTCACCAATATTTTTATGGGAGGCACAACCAACAATCTACCTGGGGTTCTCATTCTTGTCATATCTACTCAAGCTCATATGGTCTGATCCAGAAATGTGGCCTCAATATATGCTGCCATATTTCTACTGTACACAAAGGAGACAGGTCTCCCTACTGACTTCCTTGAACAGATTATCCTTAGACATTTACTCAAAGAAGAAATCATGCTAGCGCTTACACATAAAATCTTTAAAAGTTCCAGAAAACTTACTACTTTATTAAGAATGTGTATATAAATAAAAATTTATGAAGGTCATATCTTTAAATTATAAAATGTGTAAACTCTCATAATTACACACATGCAAAAAAGATTTAGGAATGGCAAATGGACAAAGACTACATCAATTGCTCTGATATGTAGCTCATAACCTCTGGCTTTCTGGTGTTCTTTCAGGATCCCCCTAACTAAAAGTACTTTATTTAAGGCAGTCATCTCAACACCAGGACAGCACATCATTACCTGGAGGGCATGTCGTTACTGCTTTGTGCATGATTTTCCTTTTGTTGGAGAGAAAGGAAAATATTCACATCACTGAAAATCTAGAGAACATTAAATATAGATTGCCAAAAGTAGGAGGCACAGTGTTCAAGGTTGGGATAAGTAAAATGGTTATAGCATAGACTGATAATCAGGTAATTACAGGCTCATAACAGAAGTAGATATTTCAAAAACGAATACAGAGGAATGGGCGAGATAGGAGGTGATTTCTGTGTGCAAAAGGGAGTGTTCTGAGAGAGCAGATGGGAAGTTAGAAAAAGCCCCATCCAGCAAGTGATGCCTCACTGTCTGGAATGATAATGAGCATCCCAGGAAGTGAAGACAACAGATATAGAGCAGAAATCACTGTGCTGTGTTGTGTCCAGGGCCTGTCTCCCACTGAAGAACAAGGAGGTGCACAGGGATGTGCTGTAGTTGTACTTTACTTCCAGTTTAACAGAAACTTCAATTATGTACAATTGTCCTTCAGCATCCACAGGGATTGGGTCCCAGGACCCGCTTACCCATAACCTGTGGAAGCTAGAATCCTCTAAATAAAATGTCACAGCCTTTGCATATAAATTACATATATCTTTCTGTATACTTTCAATTATCTCTACATTACTTGTAATACCCCAAAGGAACTGCTATGTAATGGTTTGTTAGTGTAGGACAATGGCCAGTGAATCACAGGGAATATCAGAGCAGGCAGCACCCAGAAAAGGTAGGGGGATGCAATTGGCCTCACAGCCTTGCCACATGTGGGGCACACTGGTGGTGAGGTGAGGAGACCTGCATGTGGTATAGTCAAGTGAATGGGTGGGACAGATCAGCAGGTTCGGGAACACAAATGGGAGTCAGGTTTGTGCACAGTACACTCCCATCATTCGCTCGCTCAGGAGCTAGCCATGCACATGTCATGCACCGCCCCCCCCCCCACCTTGTGGACTCCACAGGCCAGGTCAACCCTCCTCCCAGGTGAGCAGGGCCTTCCACCAGGACTGCACACTGGAGATGGGCATGGGCAAGGGTGTGGGCCAAGCTTCATCCCCGTCTCCACAGCCACCCCTCCAAAGGAGAGTAAAGGCCAGGCCTCTCACCTTGCAGTCCCCCAAGACCACTCTCAGGTTGTGCCCTTGCTCTTGGATGCCTGGCTCCAGCCTTCTGCCCGGGGCTTCATCAGGACCCACCTAACAGGGCACTGGCCCAAGGTGAGGCTGAGCTTCACTGGCTCCCACCTGGTGCACCCAGCTGACTCCCTCCATGAGGAGCTCAATGGGGCACAGCCTGCCCATGAGGAGAGGAGGACCGAGACCTGAAGCGAAAAGAAAATGGGCTGGAAAGGCATGCAGAACAGAGCTTCTTCAAGTGGGAAAAGGGCACAGCATCAGCGAGATCTCTGTCTTGGCAGAAGACTCCTGGGGGGGAGACCCTGTGGATAGCACCTGCTCTGGAAGGCAGTGGGCAGGATTTGTGATACTGAAAGAACAGTGAACTCACACTCATCCCTTCTCCTCTTGACCTGACAGGTGTCAGGTCAGCCCAGCTCAGGCTCACCAGTGGCCTCCAGAGCTAGGGCTGGATCCAGCTTCAGCCCCAGCCCACACCAATGCCTTGCCCACCTGCTGCACAAGTGGAGCTCCATGTGGCTCCTCAGCCTGCTCCAGCAGCTGAGCCCCACTGCCCTGGGCCAGCCTGCCCCGTGCCTGCCCCACCACCCTAATGCTCTCCCTCCTCCTCTCCTTCTTGGCTTACTTCTATGTGATCCCATAAATTTATTCTTGAGAACACTCCAGGTTTTCCTCTCTTAAAATGTTCACTTCAGCGACAGGAAGGCATTGTCCAGGTTGGCCAGCCACATCTGCCCCACCGTCCACTTGGGGACAATTTACTCAATTCTCAACGCCTGAGCACTTCCTCCATGTGGCCTCCTCCTCCATTCTGCCAGACAGGAGAATTAATTTCTTTTTCTTGTGTGTGGGGGTGGTGAGGGAGTATTGGGTTTTGGACTAGGGATTACAAAATGAGCTACTCCACCAGTCTCCCCCCCCTTTTTTTTTTAATGTGGTGTGTTTTGTGAAGACAGGGTTGAGAACTATTGCAAAGAAAATGTGGTATTTATATAGAATGGAATTTTATTCAGCTATATAAAGAAGAATGAATTTTTGTCATTTACAGTTAAATGGATGGTGCTGGAAAATATCTTAAGTGATTTTAGTCATGTTTGCAAAGACAAAGTCCAGTTGTTTTCTCTCACGGACTAAAGATCCAACATAAATACAGACAAACTTATATATACTTAGAAATACATACAAAGCATGCATCCAAAACTGAGACTGTTAGAGGAGAACAAAGGAGAATGAAAGGAAGGAAAGAAAGATAGTGAGTAATAGTGAAATACATCACATCTGTGTAGGAACAAGATATAGGGAAATGTGCTGAAATCTGTTAAACAACAAAGGATAGGGGGAAAGGGGCAAGGGAGTGCAGTGGAGGAGGGCTACATTGACTTAAGCACAATGCATGTACAGGCATAATACCAAGGCAAAATCCCACTGGACAATTAACAGACACCTAAACTATGAAGGACAAGAATAAAAGACAGGTCACCCTAAGGGGAGGGCACTAGTTTGAAGGGGAGGGTAAAAGAAGGAAACAAAGAAGGCGAACATGGTTAGTATACTTTCTATACAAGAATAAATATAGAATATGTAAGCCTACTGAAGTTACTATAAGATGGAAACTAAGGCAGAAAGGTGAACAATGGAGGGGATTAACCAATTCGGAATATAATACCTATATACACGGAAATGTCATAATGAAACACCTTGTGTAGCTACCTTAAACAAATTCAAAGGCATTTTTCTATAAAAATAAATGAGTGGGAAAAGGGGTAAACATAAGAAACGGGTGAAAGAGGTTGAATATGATGGAAATAATATGTACTAATGAATGAAAATGGAATAATGAGATTTGGGAATGTATTCTAAGATGGGGGAGTGAGGAAAAAGATAATGATGGAGGGGAACAATCGAACTAAAATATATTGTAAGTGCTTTTCTAAATGGCACAATGTACTCTCAGAAGCAAATGTGAAATTTCTTGAATGTTCAAATTGTTCCCTAACGTATGGACAGTACTGGAGTAAGTTTGGCTTAGGAAAAGCCCAAATGGCTAGATATTGGGAGATAAAGATGTCTTGGGCAACTGCTGGGTCCAGCTTGAACAAATGGTGATATCATGATAACCTACTCCAAAGGAACAGGCATGTGGTCATCGGTTCATTCTCACACCTGGTGAGGTTTTGGTGTAGTTGATTCCCAACAAAGCTAACACTTCCAAATTAGGGTTAAGGCTGTAATGGTTGTTCTGCTTGTAAGTATTAACTGAAGGAGGAGTGTTAACTGGAGAATCTGGATTACTGGATTTAAAAGTAAAACCAGCATGCATGCATTTCTAGATCATGATTTTGGGGAAGATCTGTAAGCACAGGTGACTTTAAAGTTGTGTGCCAATATTAGGGCCCATGAGGACTGATACTGACTTTTCATCCAAACACAAAGTTGCAGTTGAATATTGCTGAACAGAATTATTGAAAGTGGAATGCACTCCCACAGACAGGAGTTGATCTAAGATAAGACACTCAAAGAACAATTTCTCCTGTTTATGTTGCAATTTAAAGCCCAAGCTGGGGCAGAAGAAGAGAGAGCTGGGGCAGAAGAGCGGGGTGTCCCTTTTATGATTGACAGCTTCATTTGCCAGGAGAATACTACACGACTTATTTTTGAATGTGCATATCCCTACCCCTGATGCATCTGTGACAATTGCATGCACCACATGCAGTCAGTATTTATAAAGCTTTAAGTAAGGTGATGTCTCAAAAGGTCATATGAGGCCAGGTTCTCTAACCCACAGTACATGTGCTGCTTTCAGAGCATTCCATTCTGTAAAAACATCCCCATTTGTCATGCCATAGTGGCCAGTAGGCTGACTACAAACTGGGGGTTCCAAGGACATTTTCAAACACTTGTATCTTTCACTAGGCAGGATATTTATGAAGTTTTATCCAGGTAGTCTATGCCCTACCTTGACCAACTTGTATTCCTCTATTCTCATGTCTTACTGTGACATTAACAACAGATAGGTACTCAAAATTTGGATCAGAAGAAAAGAGTATATATGGGATAATCAAAAAGGGACATCATCCCAGCTATAACAAATCTATTCGATGTTAACATCAAAGTATCAGGCACATTCCAATAACAAGAGACTTGTTCCACACACCTGCCATTTGGGTTTTGGCTGAAACAAAGTCACTACATATTAGAGACAATCATTGCATCCCATTTTAGCAGTTCCTGTAGTGCTTCCTATGAACCCACAATGCCAGATTTTCCCAGTAGACAACATTCTTTCACTTGCAACTGTGCAATCAACAGTGTTAGGTCCTGGTTCACTGCCAGTAGTTAGGAAAACATCCAGTGGCCATGGCTCATGAGGTAACACAAAGACATGTATCATTTTGCCCATTGACTGCTCTGATTTTCTCCTGTCTCAATCCAGAAAGTTTTGGAGGTGACTATACCATGACAGCAGGCCAGACACTTAGGATCTCCTGGTGGACCCATCCATATAACAAGCATTTTCAGGTATGGAGTCACACTCTCTAGAGCTTTTGAGATCATTTGCACTGTGTTTATCACCTGGGATGGAGAGCCAGTTTCATGGTAAATGGGCCCAATGTCATTTACAACATGAAAATCAATAAGCAATTGGTGAGGCCTTTTCCTTGTTGGAAATCCACATGTCACACATAGAGAGTAGGGGTCTGCTACAGCAGATTGTGACTGGTAAATAGGCCATCCACACAGCCCTTTGCAGGTAGGCCAGTGTGTACTAAGTTCAGTAAGTCTTGGATAGTGGTTCCACCTGCAGTAACCATTGCACACTGCCAGAGACTGCCATTGTCAAGCAGAGCTGTGGCCAAAATTCTAAAGGTATTTTTGCTTTTCTTATTCTTGGCAGAGCGCCCAGAATTACAACATCCTTAATCTTTCTATTAGGCTAGCCTTATAATAATGCCAAAATCAGACAAAAATATTATAGGAACAGAAAACTACAGTCTAATCCCTTTCATGAACAGAAACGTGAAACAAACAACCGAACACTAGCAAACAATCCAATCAATTAAAAACATAATGACATACCCAAATAGGATTGATCAGTGGACTGAAAGTCTGGCTAAACACTCATAAATCAGTTAATATAATCTCCCATACCACCAGTCAGAAGAAAAAAATAAACAGGTAGGAGGTGTGGCTCATGGGGTAAAACACTAGCCAAGCAAATAAGAAGCCGTACAACCAAAAATCAAGAAGAATCACACACTTATGCATAGGTCAGGAAATAAGTATACGAAAAAATGTAATACCTATCCATAATTTTAAAAACATACTCACATAGCAGCCTCTTCAACAAAAACTGCTGTGAAAACTGGTTAGCCGTCTGCAAAACTGAAACTAGATCCATGTATATCAGCCTATACCAAGATTAACTCAAAATGGATCAAGGATCTTAACATCAGACCACAAACTCTAAAGTTGATACAGGAAAGAATAGGAAATACTCTGGAGTTAGTAGGTATAGGTAGGACTTTCTCAACGAAACCCCAGCAGCACAGCAACTAAGAGATAGCATAGATAAATGGGACCTCATAATACTAAAAAGCTTCTGTTCATCAAAAGAAATGGTCTCTAAACTGAAGAGAACACCCACAGAGTGGGAGAAAATATTTGCCAGCTACACATCAGACAAAGGACTGATAACCAGAATATATAGGGAACTTAAAAAACTAAATTCTCCCAAAACTAATGAACCAATAAAGAAATGGGCAAGTGAACTAAACAGAACTTTCTCAAAAGAAGAAATTCAAATAGCCAAAAAACACATGAAAAAATGCTCACCATCTTTAGCAATAAAGGAAATGCAAATTAAAACCACACTAAGATTCCACCTCACCCCTGTTAGAATAGCCATCATTAGCAACACCACCAACAACAGGTGTTGGCGAGGATGCGGGGGAAAAGAACCCTCTTACACTGTTGGTGGGAATGTAAACTAGTACAACCACTCTGGAAAAAAATTTGGAGGCTACCTAAAAAGCTAAACATTGACCTACCATATGAGCCAGCAACACCACTCTTGGGGATAAACCCAAATGACTGTGACACAGGTTACTCCAGAGGCACCTGTACACCCATGTTTATTGCGGCACTATTCACAATAGCCAAGTTATGAAACAGCCAAGATGCCCCACCACTGACGAATGGATTAAGAAAACGTGGTATCTATACACAATGGAATTTTATGCAGCCATGAAGAAGAACAAAATGTTATCATTCGCTGGTAAATGGATGGAATTGGAGAACATCATTCTGAGTGAGGTTAGCCTGGCCCAAAAGACCAAAAATCATCTGTTCTCCCTCATATGTGGACATTAGCTCAAGGGCAAACACAACAAGGGGATTGGACTTTGAGCACGTGATAAAAGCGAGAGCACACAAGGGAGGGGTGAGGATAGGTAAGACACCTAAAAAACTAGCTAGCATTTGTTGCCCTTAACGCAGAGAAACTAAAGCAGATACCTTAAAAGCAACTGAGGCCAATAGGAAAAGGGGACCAGGAACTAGAGAAAAGGTTAGATCAAAAAGAATTAACCTAGAAGGTAACACCCACACACAGAAAATC